AGTCGTTTCTGTAAAACGTTGGCCGACGGAAACACTAATTTCACCTGTTCGGAAAATGGAGAAAAGATTTGTCGACCAGGATGGGCAGGAGAGAATTGTAGTTAGTATCACAAGTACAGAAATGAATCTGTCTTTCTTTTCATGCAGCTTTGCACTTTGAAGGCCGAATCGAGGAGGACGGTGGTGGAAATCTCGTCATATCGCGATTGGTGGGCGGGAAACACAAGTCCCATGTTTTTCCATCCATGAAGCAACACACCGGCAAGCAAATATTTGTTCTGAGTGGTGATTTTTTCGTTTCTGTTTTTGAAATGGTCTTTTTTCGCTTGCGTCTGTCATCCATGCCCTGCTGGAAATACGGGGAGTGTTTCCGAAGTAGAACTCATTTTTCGGCTGTGTCCGATGACGTCAGGAGATGACACAGATGTATAAATTACTTATATTTCAGTACCACTCCTTTGAGGGGATTCCGAAACATGGGAGAATGTCACATATCTCATACAAGGACAAACTGCGATAACTTGAGAGATAGGACGCGGTCGCCTGCCTATGTGAGTGAGACCCGTCCGCACGGCGCGATGTCGCGCGCGTCCCACTGACACCTGCTGGTCTCACTAGTGATTGGGCTGCTATTGAGTCAAGCAATCTCAAGCTGATGTAGAGTATAGCTGTTGGATAGAGGTGTAGTCCATGGAGTGAATACGTCTACAAGTGCGAATTCATCGATAGGCGATTGAAGTAAGGGTACGCTGCTGCTATCTCCTGTAATATGCTCCTAGAAATCCCCATCATGGACAAAATGACGACGTAAGGTAAACTACAGACTCGCACTTGAGCATCCGGCGTGGGTCCCGGCGCGATTACCCTGAAGAGGAAGCGCGCGCTCATACGAACGCACAACCACGAAGTATGAAAGCGCTCGTATTTTGCACAATCGGAAGGAAGGGCTCGTATTTTGCACAATCGGAAGGAAGCGCTCGTATTTTGCTTAATCGGAAATGAGGCGACCACTATTTTGCACAATAGGAAATCAGGCGCGCACCTGACGAATTTTGAGGCAATTAAATGTTTCAATTCGAAATGCCTAAAATGGCTTGCTGGCTATTATAATGTACACTTTATTGAATTGAGATCACCCATTTAATAGCGGAGTGAACCCTTTTGGTTCCCACTGTGTGTAATCATTTTTCAGATGTCAATCACTGTAAGGAATGTGGAAGTCTCACCATAATCAACCAACTTGATGGGGTCAAATCCAAAAGCTGGCCAAAATGCTTCACCAGAATAGCTCCACTGAGTCAACCGGGAATTATCTGAACCATCCCGTTGAAAGTTGAAGGCATAAATCAAAGAGTACACCTCCTTTTCCCCAGCTAGAGTACTTTGTCAGAAGCGTTGCTTATAAATGTGCCCCATGCTTCGCATTGCTGAAGGCGCACTGTATATATCACCGACAAAATGTTACCCCCTAACGTGGCATGTAACTGCAGGACCCGCAAAATGAACGTGCCAAATTGCTTGAATTGCTGCGACAATGATGAGGTGTACAGAGGCTGTTTCCAACTGCTTCCTGCAGATCTTGTAAGAAGCCGTTTCGAGCGCAGATTGCTTTAAGTTAAGGAAGCAGGTAGACTTTGAAGGAAATGTCCCCCACTTTGATGGACGAGGTGGGCCTAAAACATGATAAGGCAGACGTGTTGATCTGTGCTTACTCGCCTTTACCTCCCCGTTCACGAAATGTGGAGTGGGAGACTGCCGAGCATCATAAACATTATTGTACAAGATTCGATGCTTTTGTGAGTATAGTGTGGTGATATTCCCATGTTGAGTTCATAGTAGTCAACTTAAGATGCTACTCGCTGGTCGCGGTGGTTGATTATGATGCTCTAGCGCCGAAACCGCGCCGCGACCGCGCGCTCGCAAAGGCCGGATGCTCAAGTGCGAGTCTGTAGTTTACCCCGTCACCGCCCCAAAATGACCAACTTTGATTCGAAATTGGATGACTGAAATAAAAACCCTGGGCACCACAATATCGATAAGGAGCAACCTACACCAGCGGTTGCCAAGGATGGCCGAAACCCTAACTTGTTTTCTTGAAGTACGCTCACTAGAGAAAGCGAACACGACCATGGATGACCGTTTGATCGTCCTAAGGGTACCTGTCTCATCAAGCCATTCTGTCGAAGTGCTATGCAATTCAGGGAGACGATTTTCACCAATATGATGGGTTTTGCCAAATTCATCTACTTTGACAACCACTGGAAGTCGTTGGTTCTATTAATTTGAACATTCAGATAGTGAGGTCGTGCGGTTTATTGGCCTGAACTCACATTAGCTGAGACTTTCTCGAGGGAATCAGTGAGTTTCAAAGATTGAGCGTGATGTCCCAGTTAGTCAAATAGCTGACCGAAATTAGGATGTCTCGCAAAGAACATGTCCTTCTTATCGAGTGATTATGATGTAATGGATGTTCAGAAGCAAGACCGCTCACAGAACTTTCGAAGAAAGTTGCCATCCACTTCACGCTGTGTTTTTGCGTATCCGAATCATTCCAATGCTTTTCGATGCCCATTCTTCATTTTTGTTGCGCTTCTTTATATTCAAAATGTGAAAGCTTTATAAGCCTGTGAAAACCGTTAAACTACATTGGTGGCCACTACTTCCAACCTTAACATTTCATTCCCTAGCATTCTCACAAGCTGTAACTATACAGTCGAGTCATTTCTACTCAATTTCAACTTCGCGTCCTCGTCTCCTGCTCGCAATCTCTGTCGTGGACGCACAAAACCACGAATGGCAACATGCCAAAGGCAGCGCGCGCGACACGCGCCGTGCGGACGGGTCTAGGAATAGAGGCGACCGATAGGACCTTCCCGTTAGTGAAGTGTGCAGGTCCGCTGTGGTAGAAGTGTAGCACCTTTTCCAGAAGTGCGCGGCGATGAAACTTGTTTTGGCACTATCTAACTAATAAATAATACCACCTGCCGCGAAAAACCAGGCCTCAATTTGACCGACTTTTCTCTAAAGGGGTAGATTTGGCTAGAAGTTCGCTTTTGGGGGTAGTTTCAATCTCTAAAACACGATTATAATATCTGCTTGACCTGACGCCACCTAGCAGCCGCGTCACAGGCACCGGCGTCAAAACCCTAAATCACCGAATTCTCTGAAATCTCGTCCCCAGGGGTAGCTGGACCTCCTGAACACGAATATCACATCCGCTCGGCTCGGACCGTGCTTGCGCCGCGCGGCCACAGGCGCCGGAGCCAAAATACCCTAGATCACCATTTCCACTGAAAACTTGAATACGGGGATATTTGGCATCTTGATAACGAATAAGACATTCATTTATGGTGCTGGCGCTAATGGAAGCACCACGATCGTCTGTGCTCTGCTAAGGCCGAGCCTGGTCCAAAGAGGATCACTTCTTTTCCGGGCTCATCCTTAAGGAGCCGGCTGAGTGACACTGGTACCCACGGAAAAAAGAAATGAATGCGCGTATCCGTTGAATCGAGGGCATCAAACAAACGTCTATTCTGGGCATGGCTTTATCGATTATGGGAAAGAAATGTGTAGTGCCAATTTGCGCGTGATGGCGGCCAGAAAACGTCCGGTGGGCGGCAGGCTAAAAAGAAATTCATGTTCGTGATCAGGTACCGAAGAACCCATTGTGGGCAAGATTTACACCATTTTATTAACGACAGCAAGTGGCGGGTAGCGCCAAAATTGGGCGCCCAAGTGACCCGCCACGGCGAAAACGAACGTCATACTCATCCAGGGCATCGTATTACCCTTTCACCATTTCACCAAGAATTTGTTGAGTTCTATATGCAGTAATTGTTGAATAATGTGTAATAATGTCTGAATGCTCCTTATTTCTCCATACTGCTCCTTGACACACAAGCAACAATCACGCCATACGGTCAGCGCCTGCCTTCACGACTTATTTGTAGTGTAGTTTGCTGCGGACGAAGGGGCGTGTCAGGCAGAATGAGTTTGGCGCGGTGCCAAACCCGTTCTTACCAGTTGTTGAAGCGAGCAAGTGACAGACTATCATATCGTTCGTATCACTCGTTTTCTACCAATTGTTGTCGCGTACCCGCTTCAGCAAGTTTCAGAGAATGGGTTTGGCGCTGTGGCACACACCGCTTGACACGCCCCTTCGTCGGCAGCGAACTAGCATATATTTGCTCTTCTCATATGTCTGGTCGTGTGGCCGTCGCATTCGTACTGCAGCTCGAATTTCAAGATCTGAAATTTTGTTCTAGTTCGCATTTGTAGTAAGGACGCTTTGAGAGACTTTTTCACAGTCCTTGAGGCGCAGAGGTAGGTGAGAGGTGGGGGGGGAGTGTGACCCCTCGACAGCACCTCTAATTCCCTTCGTTCGAAGCTAAGACTAAGTATGGACTATGCTCTGTCTGCGAAACTATCCCTTGGCTACTATGGTCGTTTACGCTCTTTGCCTTAGCCTTGGTTAGGGAAAGCAGGCTTGGGGAGCCGTCTCGTGACATCCCCCGAACTATGTCAGCGCCGCTTTTGATTGTCAGTTTCTCTCGAAAATGACTGGTGAATTATGGTTATACCGAGCAAAGTAGAGCATCCACAACCTCAACCGCCTCAAATGTGCTAAGTGGGTACATGGTAGCCGCCAGCTGGCTGGGACGATATAGCGCTGTAAATAAAGTAAATAAACAGTGCCAACTTGCGAAGCCAGCAGTGGCAAGATCTTGACGTAAATTTTTGAGTCGTTTCAGGTTAGTATAAATACAGTTTCAGCTGCCATCTTCTTCACCATATTTATCGGTTTTACGCTTTACCTGCTCAATGCTAAACGCGTCACGCATGTTCGACCTTCGCATAATTCTTTTCGTATTGAAGGCTGATCAGATAATTTTGCCTTTGTCAAAACCTTATTTCAAGTGCTGTCAAGTTTTCTTTGTTCGCTTCATTTTGTGGCTGGGATGTGTAATATCTTTCATTTTCATAGTTTATGACATGTGCATGCGAAAGAACGGTTCTACTTCTAGTTCAGCAGTTTTGTGATCTCTATTATTATTATTATTATTAGGATGAGGCATGAGTAATTTCCATAATTCGTCACCGGAGTTCTCGCAATTTTGATAGCTCGTTTGCTAATATTATCAAATACTTTCGCGGAGGTGGTGTAGTGACAAGTGGCGCGCTTACCACTCGCGCGGCGCCGGGTTCAAATCCCGGGTCGACTCCCGCCCAGGCCAACCAAGCCTTCTACCCTGCCGGAAACGGTAAATTGGTACCAGATTCGTCTGGGAGGTATAAAACACTGACTTGTACATCGGCTGGCCACCGCAAGTCATTGTATAGGCCACATCGCATTCAAAGCCACTACGATTCTGAATGGAAGTAGAATGCGTGCCGCATCCCACAAAGGGATTGATCAACGGCGAAGACTTTATCCTTTTATCCTTATATTATATAAACCAATG